ATATCTTCCTTCTTCCTTCATGCCTCCTTTTATAGGAGATTTTGGAATCTTATCTTGGACAGGTGTCTTCCACTTTCTTTGTTAGGTAGCAAGGCATCTTATCTCCACCGTTTTCTTCATTGTCTTCTTGCTATGTGGACCTCTCCTTTGAAAATTATATGCCTTATCTTTTAAGTTTGTCTGCCACTTGTATCAATTAGTGGGTATTATAGAGACATTTCCTGTATTATCTTCTGTCTTCTAGTAGCCACAGTTTTTCTTTAATAAATTTCTTTATTAAAGTAATGATAAAGGGCTACTTCAATCACCATCATTTCTCCATTTTTGAATCAAAGAATTCTGCAGGGAATTCTTCATCATTAAGGGATGCTTGACTCATATCTTCAACAACACAGTATTCACAATGGTGATCACTGTAATTCCAAAGTAATTTGCATAACTCTTTAGCCATATCTTCTGATCCATGTATTTGGTTGGATATGATTGTTGATAATAAATGGTCGAGATAACAAATATCTTCTTCTTTGGTATCCATTCTTGCATTGGAATAGATAATATGATCTTCAGATGGATAAACCCATATTTTTTCTTTCTCAGTAATTATCTGAGTCACATGTTCAAATATCTCTTTATATCCTTTTGCTCTTCTATAGGGCATCATGTTAAGAATATCTTGATATCCATTTTTAACAACCTTTTGATTGGCTGGTAAAAAATGTTGATTTGTTAATCCCATTTTGATCACATGGAACGATGGGTGCATATATTCAAGGACAGGATCCCATTCCATTGTAGCTGAATGGAATCTGATATATATATTTGTTGTTTTAACAACTTCAGTATATCTCTTGACAGCTTTCCTGATGTTGGCTGGAAGCTGAGCTATCTCTTTAAGATCTTTGCTTGGATATATACAAAGTATATTTCCAATTTTGAAGCAATTTCGGACCCAATTGGCTGGTGCTCCTGGATAAAAGTTTATCTTGTTGTATTTCGAATAGTGGAGAGTCTTCATCCACTTTCCAATCTCCAGATACCAATCTGATAAAATATTAAAAATAACAATAAAGAGCGTTACTTCTTCATGGTTATCTTTTTTGGACATTTTTGCTTCATGACATATTTTGACAATATCTTTGAGATCTATCCTTTCAATAGAAAGTTTAGATTGAGTTTGGCTCTGTGAAGAGCTACCTTCTCTTTTGATATCTTGAATATCTTTATTACCAATAATAGGTGTATAGAAAGTTTAGATTGGGTTTGGCTCTGTGAAGAACTACCTTCTCTTTTGATATCTTGAATATCTCTATTACCAGTAATAGGTTTAAGTATTCCCTGTGAAGGGGTTCCTATTACTTTCTTTTCTTTCCCTTTATCCTCGGGAAGAGTACTAGTATTCACAAGTCCCTGCGAAGGGATACTAGTTTTGGTACAAGTAACTTCTGCCTCTTGGGCTAAATTCTTGCCTCGAAGGCTATCTTGGATATTTTGAATTTGGGTTTCCAAATAGGAAACTTTTATCTCAAGTATCTGGACTTTCGTCCTTCATTGTTCTAGCTCCATCCCTGCTAAGATAATCAGGAAGAAAGTTAGTTTTACCTTTTATGTATTCAATATCAAATTTGAAATATGAAAACCAAATTTGGATCCTAATAATATATCTATTGTTAATAGATGGATCAACATTATTTTTCAAAAATGCTTTAATTTGAGTATTATCAGTTCTGATCAAGAACTTCTTTGGTAATAAATAATCTTCATATTTTTGGACTCCTCTTTTTACAGCAATGAGTTCTTTTCTATTAGTCTCATATCTTGTTTCAACTTCTTTGAATGTTCCTGATGTGTAACCTGCAAGTATTTCAGGACAAGAACAATCTTTTTCACACTTATATTCCTTATGATTCTTTTTAACCTTTAACACTGCTCCCCAGTAGTAATCTGAAGCATCAGTTTCCAGGATAAAAAAATATTCTTCTTGAGGTAATACAAGTTTGGGTAATACCTTTAATTCTTCTTTTACCTTTCTTATATTTTCACAATCTTGCTCTTCCCAAGACCACATTATATTTTTTCTTAATTTTGGAAGAAAATAATTTTTCAATTTAGCACAGTTTTCAATGAATCCTTCAGCATAATTTAATATTCCGAGGAAGCTTTGTAATTGTTTTT